GGGAGGGGGAGGGGGAGGGGGAGAGGGAGAGGGAGAGGGAGAGGGAGAGGGAGGGAGAGGGAGAAACCAACTGAGGATTGTACGTAAATGGACTGACATTGGTTCATCAGGTGCTGGCCACACCCTCTTAGGGATGAGCCATTCATTGGCTGTGCCATTTCAGGGCCCAAGAGGGTGATTGCCAGCAGCACGTGAGCTGAGTGTTGTACCTGCCTGTGTTTATGTATGAGTCTAGGTTCACAGGCCAGAGAATAAAACATCTAAGCAGGCAAGGGCGGGGTGGCTGCTTCCTAATCAGTGACTCGTTCATTCCACACATTTGGCAAGAGTGTGTTGCATTCCTAGGTAGATCCAGGAATGTGCTCTTCTTCTGACCCCAACAGTTAACGCTTTGGTGTCTCCAAACTGTTGATGATTCGTTGGTTGGTGCTGGAAATGGATCCCAGGGTCTTGTGCACAGAGCCACACCCTCCAATTGTGTGTGTGTGTGTGTGTGTATGTGTGTGTGTGTGTCTTAGTGCTCTCATTTTTGTATTCGTGTATAGAGGACAGGAGATTAACTTTGGATATCTTCCTCTATGACTCTCCAAAGTTATTTATTTATTTATTTATTTATTTATTTATTTATTTGAGGTAGAGTCTCTCGATGAATCTGGGACCTTGCTTTTTCAATTAGAGGCTGGCTAGAAAGTCCCCTAGAATCTCTCTAACTCCTTTTCCCTCAGCATTTGGGTTACACATGCATGCTGCTACCCTAGCTTTTTACCCGTCTTCTGGGAATCGGAACTAGGACTTTCATGTTTATACCAGAAGTTCTTTACCCACCAAACCGTCTCTCCTGCTGCCAATCTCAACTAAAAAAATAAAAGCCGAGAGGAGCTTGGTAGTGCACTCCCTTCGATTCGAGCACTTAGGAGGCAGATCTCTTGTGAGTCTGAAGCCAGCCTGGTCTGTAGTGAGACCTTGCCTCAGACAAAATAAATAAACCAAATACATAAAAGTGGAAGTGGTTTTATAGACGATAGAGACCCTGAGACAAAGTCAGCACCCACCGGCCACCCTGAGAGCCCAGCAGGCTCACTAGTCCTGGCTTTTCCTGGACTTCTGTTTTACAGTTGAGAAAATTGAGCCCCAAAGAAGGGAAGGAACTTGCAGGGTGGGGTGGCTGTTTGCTGCCAAGCAATTCTCCCTACCCATATCTCCTCGCTTCTTGCATGCCTGAAGTGCTCCAGCCAAGAGGAACCCCTTTGTCCCTGTAGGGCTCATTGCCTTCTGGGAGGTCTTTGCTCTCTGTCATATTCTATCCACCTTGGGGCAGTAATATGTCACTGTGTTTGATATTATTGTCCCTTCTTTGCCTTTGCTAGATTCAGCAAACACTTTTGAGCTTCTGCCCCCCCCCTTTGTATTCTTTTGTTATGTTCTCATGAGACAGGGTCTTGATATGTAGCTCTGGCTGTCCTGGAACTCACTATGTAGACCAGGCTGGACTTGAACTCACAGAGCTCTGCCTGCCTCTGCCTTCTGAGAGCTGGGATTAAAGGTATGCATGTACCACCATGTCTGGCTATCTCTACTTCTGTTGGAATTACTGGGATTTTTTTTCTTGAAGGAGTCACAAACATCATTGTTAAAAGGGTATTATACAGTCAATACAGCTGCCTCTGGGTGTTTAAATAAATAATTAACTGAAAACTTTTGGTCACTGTGAGAATGAGTGTTTTCTGGGTGGGGGAGGGGCATGTGAAAGAGTCAAGTCAAGGGCTCACATAACCTAGGCTGGCTTGAATTCTCTATGTAGTTGAGGATGACTGTGAATTCCTGCTCTTCCTGCCTCTTCCTCCTAAATGCTGAGGGTACCACTATGCCCAACCTGAAAACTGGACTTCTTATGTAGTTGGGGACGACCTTGAACTCCTGACCCTCCTGTTCTACCTTCTAAGTGCTAACCCACTACACCTGCCTTGTCTGTGTTGTTTTGTTTGCAGGGAGGCTGAGGCAGGGTATCACTATGTATTCCAGGCTCACTTTGAACTTTCAAAGATCCTCCTGTTTCTGTCTCCCCAAGTGCTGGGATTATAGGCATGCACCACTGTTAGCTAGCTTCATGTACTGCTTGCGTCAGTGCCTTGGTGTGGAACTCATTTACTGGGGTTACTGCTAGGTCATTTTACTTTTTTTTTTTCTTTTTTTCTTCCAATTACTCGGTTGCCCAGGCTGCTCATTCATTCTTTTGTGTCAGCCTCTTGAGTACTGGGATTATAGACATGAGCCACTGTCTGCCACCACTTACTTTTTACTCCATTACAGTCCCCAGAAAGTTACCTGCTGTCAGTTTCTCAGAACCTCACCCGGGTATCACTTACTGTCCTCGCGGCAGGGACTGTGTGGGTAGTGCTGAGCAAGGTATTAGCCGTTTTGGCTCATTATTTCCCTTTGCTCATAGGGCCCAACCTCCTACCAGGCATTTCTCTGTGAGAAGCAGAAAGTCTGTATATTGCCTGGTGCTCCGATGGCCATATCTGCATCCTCTGGAGGGAAGTCTCTCCACCCTACTTCCTCTTCTTTCTTGTGTTGAAGACCAGGGCTCACTATGTAGCCTTGGTTAGCCTGGAACACTATGTAGACCACAGTGTCTGTGAACGCAGAGATCCACCTGCCTCTGCCTCCTAAGTGCTGGGATTAAACGCGTGCACCACTATGTCCGGCTTGGAGGAAACTTTCTAAATAATAATAATAAAAAGAGAATTGTGTGTCTGGGTGCTCGAATTTATGTCTGTACCTCGTGCGTGCCAGGTACCCACAGAGGCCAGAAGGGGGCGTCAGAGCACTTCCAACTGGAATTGCAGACCATGGTGAGCCTCCATGTAGGTGCTTGGAATGGAATCCGGGTCCTCTAGAAAAGCAGAAATTTCTCCATATCGGAGGAAACTTTCTTAAAGTTCACCTTATCTGAATTCTCGATCAGGGACCGCAACTCGTCTGGTCGCTAGGGAAACCACAAAACTCTGGTCCACCTAAAAGTCCTCCAGACCCCAGCCTCTGGGCGTTTCCTAGGGAGTGACCCGTGTTGGCCTCGCAGGGGCTTAAGTAAGAGCTCCTCATTTGACTGACAGAAGAGGCCACTAATGCTAGCCCAAGGTGGTTCCTTTGAGCTGCTGGGGGCGTGCCACCTCCGCTCTAGTCTGTCCAATCCGGAGCGCCGCAGGGTCGAAGGGCGGGGTCTGGAGCTCGGCAGCCAATAGGGCGAGCACAGCGGGCGCGGCGGGGGCGGCGCGGTCTCGGCTGGCGGCAGAAGCGGCCGCGGCGGGTCTGGGCTGGGTCGGGAGCGCGGCTCGAGCTGAACGGGAAGGGGTCGGAGTCGCAGCCCGGCCGGCGTGGCGTGCTCAGTGGGACCCGAGGCGAGCGGCGGCCGAGGTGAGGGGTGCGCCGCGACGGTTGGGACACGGGTCAGTGGCCGCGCCTACCCCTGTCAGGCCGCGCCGGGGCCGAGCGCGCGGGGCCGCGCCGCTCGAAACTTCTAGTCCGCTCGCGAGGGGCCACGCGCCGGCGGGCGGAGCCCGGGAGGCCCAAAGGGCGGCCGGAGCGGGCGAGTCCCACGCGGACGCACTCATGGGGCGCTTTGCAGACTGCCTTCCATTTCCGTCCTTCCCACACTCGGTGTCCGCAGTGGTGAGAGCCAAGCCTGCCCGGTGAACACGAACTAGGGGTGTGAGGCAAGACAGGAAAGGCTGCAAGCTGTCCTTTTTGACTTTCATAGTTTTCTAGACTCAATGGGTCCGAAGTGTCAACTCCCTCCTCCCTCCCGTGGAGCTCTAGAGCCGTGTTCTTCTCTTCCCAGAGACCCCAGGCTTGCGGGCCCCCCTGTGAGAAGGTCCGTTTTTCTTTTTGTTCCAGGAGTGGATCAGAGGAGCTGGCTGGGGATCTCAAGGCCTTAGAGGTTAGACCTGGAAGTAGACACGCCCCAGGGGTGCTGCGTTCTAGTTGGGTCCACAGGGGTAGATAGTTTTGGTCCGGGCTGCGTGCACCATTCCTGGCTCTCGTCGTCTTTCCTTGGCCGCAGCTGTCCTGAGGTTTAGTGATGAAGGGGAGTAGGTTGCTGACAGTCTCCAGGGCTACTCATTAGCGGTTTAGCAAAAATACTCCTGCACTGTCCTGATGTAAATCTGTTTAATCCCGAGTTGTGTACGTGAGATCACACCTTCCTAGCCCCTGCAGGTTTTCCAGTTTGCTTAAGTTCTGGTCTTGCGCCCCTGGGATTGTTAGCTTGGAGCCCCTGGCAAAGGGATCAGCCAGATGAACTGGGTTCTATGTTAGCCTTCCTTTTACGTCGCAGGGCGCGCGGCTTCGCCTTTTCACAGAAGTTCTGAATGAGAGTCAGTGTGGTTGGGATTCTCTTGACTTTACTGGAATACTTTTGTCCGTACATTTACACTTAACTGTAGAGTTTGGCAGTCTCCTTGGTGAAGCTATGCTACTTGGACCATGAGGCCAAGTGAAAAACTTGTGTGATGTGTGTTTTCTTTTCCCTGCAGTCTGGAGACTTCAAAGAACTGACCATTGGGCTGATGGGTATTTATTACTTGAGAAAGTAACTGAGCACAGAGGAATAGATGACTGATTAGATCTGTTCTCTCTGGGCAGGATTGTTAAAGACTAACTCATTGGACTAGAAATGGTATTTCAGTTCATGCTGTTTGGGGAGCTAGAGTTTGTTACTTCTGACCATAATGATTAATGTAAAAGTGTGTGTGTGTGTGTGTGTGTGTGTGTAAGAAACATATATCTATGTTTCCATGCTGTCTGATGGAGGTGACATTAGCTTTCCCTTGGTGCCAGTACAGATTTTGATGGCCAGGCATTTCTAGGAGGAGCATAGGGAGGGGCATTTGTCCTTAGTTTTGAGGGGTCTGGCCTTGTTTTGGACACAGGGTCTCACAAAGTAGACCAGGTTGACTTGGACCTCACAGAAATCTGCCTGCTCCTGCTTCAAGGTGTATTACACCATACTTGGCCACCCTTGATCTTTTTATTTTCTTTTACCTGAAAGTCCATGCTGATGGGTTAAGGACTGATTGTTAGGCTTCCTGGTTCTGAAAGGGTGTCATCACTCGATCTTTGCAGGATAGTATGGAATATCAAATAACTGTAGTAAAATTACTAACTGTTGAGGCACCTTGTGAAGCATACTCGAGTGCTCTCTGGCCAGCCTCACCTGAAACCAACCTCTCAGCTGACTCTGGCCTGCCTTATCTACCACCCCATTGTACTTGGCTTCCTGGAAGCCACCCTTTAGATTATGTAGGTAATAATCATGTTCACATGAGCTGAAGTGCCTGCTCAGTTTTTTTCCAGTTGGGAACTACAGCTGCATACCTGAAGGCGCCAGAGGGAGGCAGGGCTTAGCTAGCTCTTCGATTTGCATACTAGGGGCAAGTCCTCTGTGACCTCTGCACATCCTCCTCACACCTGAAAGTAGGCCTGAGAGCACTGTCTAAAACTGGCTCGAACTTGTCCCTGATGCCTCTCAATGGTGATTGGGGGTCTTTGGGATGGCTGTTTGGGGATTAATGTTTCTCTCATTTTTTTTTTTAAGATTTATTTATTTCATGTATGTGAGTACACTGTGTCTGTCTTCAGACACACCAAAAGAGGGCATCGGATCCCCATTACAAATGGTTGTGAGCCACCATGCGGTTGCTGGGAATTGAACTCAGGACCTCTGGAAGAGCAGTCAGTGCTCTTAACTGCTAAGCTAGCTCTCTAGCCCTTTCCCCCAGTTTTTAATGTTCAGATGGCTGTGCTATCTGCTGACTAGAGACCATCTTAAAAAGGATAGGTGATCTGGGGCTGGGAGATGGCTCAGTCAGTAAAGCACCTGAATGTTCAAACACAGGGACCTGGGCTTGAACCCCCAGCAAAAAAAATACGGTGAGGACAGGGATGGCTCAGGGGCTAAGAGCTGTAAGATCCTTACAGAGGATCTGGGTTTGATTCACAGCACCCACATGGTACCACAAGCACCTGTAACTCCAGTCTCAGGAGATCCTACGTCCTCTGCTAACCTCTGAGGGCACCAGGCGTGTGCATGGAGCGCTTACATACATACAGGCAAACGTTCATAACATAAAACTAAGAAATCTTATAAAATATAAAGTGGACAGCCATCAAGGCAATACCAGACATCAAACTCTGGCCTGCACTTGCACACTTGTACACACACAGAATAGTTTTCCCGCTGCACAGGTGCCTGTGATTCTACCTTTTGGGAGGCTGAGGCAGGGCAGTCTCTAGTCTGAGGCTAGCTTTGGCCTGTATAGTGAGACTCTATCTTAACAAAGGACAGTGCTCTAAGTATTCTGCACAACCAGACTTTTGTTTTTGCATCTCTGTGGTGGGTACTAGGTACTTGAGAGACAGCTACCAAACCTAGAACACAAGGACTGTGGTTTTACAGGAGACTTCATTTATTTTGTGTGTGTGTGTGTGTATGCATGCACACTGTGGTGTGCATGTGTAGATTGGAGGACAACTTGCAGGAGCTATTTCTTTCCTTCTAGCCCACCATGGGGCTAACAGGGATGGAACTCAGATTGTCAGGCCTGGCAGCAAGTGCCTTTACCTGTTGAGCCATTTCTCTTTGTCCAGATATTCTTCTCTCCCACCACATAGGGTTTTTCTGTATAGCCCTGGCTATTCTGGAACTTTTACTCTGTAGACCAGGCTGGCCTCAAATTCAGTGATCCATCTACCTCTCCCCCCAACCCCTGAGTGCTGGGATTATAGGTGTGTGCCATCACCGCCTGGCTTCTGTCCAGATTTTTAATTTTCATTTAAAAAATAAGAGCTTGTACTTTTAAAAATACTATATTTTATCACATTTATTTAGTGTGTGTGGCAGTCAGAGAATAACTGTTCCACTCTGTGGGTCTGGGGACTGAACTCAGGTCGGAAGCCTTGATGGCAGGCACCTTTACCTTCTGAGCCACTCTGTAACCCCTACTTTTTTTCTTTACCTGCTTCTCCCTAGCTTTCTTCCCCTTTGTGTGCTACATGCTAGACAAGCAGTCTATTGCTAAGCTATGCCTCTAGCTCATTTAAAAAACTTCAGTCTTAAAATAGACAATTTCTGAATCTAAGCACTGAACTAGATTAGCCAAGGAACTTCGGCAGCAGTCCTAGTGCTAACCCAGCAGTCAGAGTCCTCAGCAGCTGCCTGAGAAAGAGCCTTGCTGGAACATGAGGCAGTACCTGATCTGGGACTGTGTGGCCTGTCCTTGACCTCATAATCAAGGCAACCTTCCTGCCTCAGCCCTTCAGGTACTGACATTACAGGCTTGAGCCATTACATTTGACTTTAATGTCATTTTATTCCCTGGTACCTGAGGGGAGATGGATGGGGCCCAGGGCTCTTTTCTATGCTTCCCACCACTGAGAGGCTAGGATATACCGTCCTTAGGGTCTCAGATTTCCTATTTGTAAGAGAGGCTTAGACATTCCTAACCTGTAACATTCTGAGAATAGTCGGAAGACACCCCTACCCCAAGAAAGGAAGCACACATGTGAACAGCTTGGGGTCAGTGTCCAGGGTGAGAACTGTGACTCTCCAGCCCTAAGCAGCCCCTCCTGCCCTAGTGGTGGCATGGTGATCACAGCTTTCCTAAGCTGCCTCTCACCCCAGAGAATCTGTAATCCTATTTCCTTGTCATCCTGGAGCTAATAATAATGCTGACTTACGTACATGGAGGACACACATTTCAAAGGACTTTTATCTCATTATTTTGCACTCAGACATTTAAATGACAGGCCTGTGATAAAGAAAGTGGTGTCAGGCCTGACCATTACTTTGTAAGAGTCCATGACCACAGATGTCCATCCATACTGGGTCCAGAACTTGGGCTCCTGGATGCCAGCATGGGGTTTTTCCATTAGGCTCTGCTTCCTTGGTGGTAGATGAGTTGTTGGCATCCTAAGTATCCTAGAATGTCCTTGTAGAAGTGTTTGTCCACGGAAGGACTGTGTGTCCTTTTGGAATTTGAATCCCAGAAGAAATACCTTCTGTCCTGACTATGAAGACCTTGTTTGTTCAGGTGTTTTTTTAACTTTTATTTTTTATTTTATGTGAATGAGTATTCTGTCTATATGTGTGTCTGTACACGGGGGGGTGCTGGGATTGTGCCCAGGTCTAACCAGTGCTCTTAACTGGTGAGCCATCTCTCGTTCCCTTGTTTTTGTTTGTAACCTTTTTTAGAGGGGAAAATTTGTAGGATTTGAGTGTTTTGGGTAGTCCAAAGTTGGCCTCAGACTAGAGATTTCCCTGCCTCAGCCTCCTAAAGGGTAGAATTACGGGCAAGTGCACATTGAGAGAACTGTTCTGTTTGTGTACATGTGCACAAGTGCAGAGTTCGATGACTGTC